TCGTCACGTAGTGATATTTTGATCATAAATTACTAATTAAAGTTATTCTGTTCAAGTTTGATTATCTAACATTGCATATCCTTATATATCTTTACAAAGACGCGTGAAGACTATCCTGAATTTCATTTTTGAAATTCATCAGTATCTATTTATTCAGGAAATTGTTTACAGATCTTTTATGCAGAATATTGATCATCATGGGAAATAAGAAAGCAAGAAAATTGAATTAAGCAGAGTAAGGCAAGCAGAGAAGATTAATCTGCAATAACTGTTTTTATGAAATAGACTGGTAAATCAGATGAACAGATTATTGCTTTTTCAGCAAATCCCTACGTCCTTATCCGCGTTCTTGCATATTTCAATTTTCAAAAAAAATTTATAAGTTCAGAAAAGAAATTGATATGCAATCAAGCTAAAATTTGTTTAATAAGGACTTTTACTCGAAGACTATATGTAGAAAAAGTTTATGCAATGTTTGATTCTGCGAGATAGAACTATAACCTAGTCTTGAGTAATGAGATGGTATGATAACACGTCACGCTTGTAAGCAGCAGTTAAACGTAGCAAAAAAGCGAGGTTAACTGTCTAAATTATTAAATTTCTATGACAACCCGAAGTATGACAACAAAAACAACAGAATATCACTATGCATACATAGGAGTTGACAGAATACGGGATAAAGTAATTACAGCACCAATGCCAAAACATTTATCCTGAATGATTCATTGGTTGACACTTCTATTACTGATTGAGGTCTGGCGGTGGTGGAGCTCGGAAACGTGGAAGTGTGCTTTCTGCATACTTGACAGTTGGACTGGACTCATGCATATTCTCCCATTCATCATCTTCTTCCACTCGACAAAGATCACTACCAATTTCGCATGTACCTCTCCCTGCTAAAAAATTTTTCCAGAATATAAAAATACATTATGATAAAAAACAATCACTTCTTTACAAAGAAACTACGCTGATTGCTTCATCTAAAAGAAAAAAAAAACCCCTATTTTTAAAAAATTCTCTGTATAGAGATAGGAACTGTAATTATCCTAGGATATAACCTAAATATCTCAATAGGTCCTAAGAATTAGGGAGACAATGAAGCGATCCATGAATCCAATAATGCGCAAAACTACCTTTGATTTAATTTCATCCAGTACGCATAAAATTTCTAGCAGTAAATAAAAAAAGTCACCTTGTACTCGTCCCAAATTATTTGAGCTTGAACATGATGAAGCTGTTAATGATATCAGTGAGCATGGCCGTCGAGTACCTTCCACAAAACCAAAGTCACGAAATCCACCACTAAGCTGTAATATAAAAATGAAAAAGTGACGAAAGATCTTATTTGAAATACTCTCAACGCTGAAGGATATCAAACTTACATACTTCAGTAATTATAGTATATCCTTATTTGTTCGACAACAGCGATTAAAACTATCACTAAAGGTACAGAATAAGTATAACTGAGTCAAATTCCAAATAAAATATTTTGTTGATCGGTGGTTTGCGAATAGACGTTTTACAGGATCAATTTTATTTTTCAGTACTTTAAGATTTTTATTTTTTTGCTCAACTCCACGTACACCTCAAACATTTCATAATATTTCCGCTCTCTGTATTTACAGCAAAATATGTTACTAACCGTAGCACGTGGTCCTAAATGAATATATGAGGAATGTAACTCAAGGCCCATATTTGCCTTTTCGCGGATATTCTTCTCACGACTTCGAATGGCTTGGTTCCAAAGAATGTTACGGATATCTTCAACCCAAGCATCACGGATACTTGCTGTTTGTGACTGGAATACATGAAATTAGACAGCTGCATTCTGTAATGTTTCATAGAAATAAACAGTGAAAAATCAAAATTTTTGCTGTAGAATAATCCAACATTGCAACTTACAGGTAAGTAACAAGAAGCTGGTGAAATAAATAAATTCTAAAATGCTTAAGATTTTACCTCCATTATATACGTAAACGAGTTTTTATGCTTACGAAACCATAATTCAAATTTAACCCTCGAATCTTTCACCATTTCTGTCAAACCACAATCAGTCATCTAAAATGAAATAATTTTATTTCACTAAATTTGTTACAGAATCACAAAATGAATCCCAATCATTTTCTCTTGTACGCGAAAACACTAGGAAAATTAATGGAAACTGCAAAAAACTTTATTCACTAAATTTAGTTACAAGGTGTATATATCAACCTCGAACCTCACTTGAATCGTTTTATTAATATTAGGTATGAATTAGAAACACAAAAATTTCTATGACACTAGAAACTTAATTTATCAATTTTTCAAATATTAAAATAATAAGGACCTAGAAAAACCTGAACCAGAGAATAACTTGGATCTAAGAATGGTAGATGACATTATCATTTCAATAAGTAATAATAAACTAAATACGTTGACGAAATTAGAATACCTGTATACTACTTTTATATTTCAGCTCATCAAATGTACTTCCTCTCCATGATCGTGATAATTTCGGCTTTGTAAGGACAACACAATTCTCAAACAGAAATACATTTCGTACGCGTTTCTTAGATTGTAAGCCACGTTTTTCAGTGACATACATAGTGTCGTGTCGTAACAAAGTTCCTTGCTCTTTGAGATTCAAATCACAACTACTTATTCGTTCCATTGCTAATAAATCATTACCATGACGAATCTGCTGTCCAACCACCACAGCTACTTTTTCCAACACCTCCAAAACGTCCTGGAATCGAGCCTTGATAATGAGAAAGTTGACTTGAATATGGAACTAAATCCAAACTTTGAATATTTGCACAAAAAAAACTAAGAACAATGAAATGCAAAAATGAAAAGAACGGAGTTTTATTTTAAAACTATAATAAAATTTTCCATGTGAAATATACAAAGCGAAGAAAGAAAAGATTTATGGCTAACCACTTTATTTGATGGTGCAGCATTGAGAAGTTGCTGAAGTGCAAGCGCGTATTTACCTATCCTTTCAATCGGTTTAATTAATAAATGTGATAGGTCAGACATGCTCTGAAAAGTTTTACTGAAATAAAAACAAAAATAAAGCATTTGAAAACAATTCTTCGAAGAATAAAAACAGCTTGCCTTCTAAACTCAGTTAAATAAAACAAAATTAAATATGCATTCAAAAACTGGCGAAAGCTAACAACATAAAAAATCATTCTACCAACCTGTACAGAGCTAAAAAACTTATGACCAGCTTCGCGCATTAATTGATCAGATTTGGGTTTATTTTTTGCATACAGTGCATACAATTCAAAATAGCTAAGATTATCCAGAAACAATCGTCCAGTTGTCATTGAAACTGATTCATCAGCACGACGAAACCTACAAAAAAAAAACCTGAATATTCCCTATGGTTTCAATATTATACCATTAACAATACAATCAACATTCGCGCAACATTTTTAAGGGAAACAATAATTTACCTTAACCGTGAGATGAGCTGAGGCAAAAATGAATGAGCATGAAACTGAAAAAGCTTTTCAATATTTCCAAAAATACATGACTTTTTGCCACGAAGCGCACTCGGAATGTCAACTCGAGCCATTTCCGGCATGAAATCCTGGAATACATTAAAATCCTGATAATCTTTCTGAACGATCCACATCTAACAACAAGAAGACACTGCAATAACTATCCATCAGTTAATTGAAAACTGACATTAATATTAAACAAATTCTGAAGTATAAATGCAGCGCAAATTTCCATTAACATTTATAATGGCAGCAAAAAGTTAACTTGACGACTTTACTGATATGGGAAATTCCAAATTCATTTGAAAAAAGCTGTTTAAATCGATCGCTAAAATGAACATTTTGTCTGCACAATTCTAGATAAAACGGGAAAACGTACTTGAACCACAAGTCTTAACGCGCTGACATAATCGATTTCTGAATCGAGCAAATCTCTTACAACAGTACATTCAATTCTGAAATTCGCATCGCTTGTTTTCGCCGGACTTAGCCAATCTCGGATCATATCTATCTGCTCGGAACGCATCGAGAAATCAAGAGCTGAGAATGCTGCAGAAATGAAAAATCCCGTATTTAATAACCGCAATCGAACGAAAATAATTCATTCATTTAGAAATGTTCCAGAACTAGCCTAATACTCATTACAATTGCTGAAATATGTCGACAATGTAACAGTAGTTTCAACAAACCATAGCAATAACTGTAAATTTTAATTTAATTATTTCGCTCGAATGGGAAAAACAAATCAAGCAGTAAAAAACCTGATGCGACAGCTGGTTGAGGTGATTCGCTTATGGTGCAACAATCATCATCCAGAAACTGGAAAGCACTCAGAGCTGAGCGACAATCCTATAAAATAAAGTTCTAGAAATCTCAAAACTAGAGAGACTTCGAAGCTTTCCTAAAATTCACCATTACCTCCTCCAAAAAATCACTACTGGAAGTTCTTATTAGTGGACGCCGTGATTTTTGCGATACAACAAATCGTGCTGATCCAGGTCGGACAGCTCCGTTTATTAGAAATGGATTTGGAAGACGTAATGGAACAGTGCTAACAGAACGACGCTGGTCCAGCCTTTTGTGTAATGTGTTTGTTGACATTGACGTAATGATCTAAAACATTACAAAAGTAAAACTAATAAAAACATATGACACGAAACTGTTTAATGTAAATTCATTAAACAGTTTTGTTGCTTTTGGTAATTATGATAAGTAATATGGTTTACATGCAATTATTTGAGAAGAGACTTCAATCAGTTTTTAGGTGGAAGTACTAAAAAAACAAAAGCTATGAAATTTTTTTGTCTTTTTAGTAAAAAATGAAGTATTTATTAGCCATATTACTTTATTAGTCATATTAAGAGTGACGGGTGCAGCTCCGATTGCAGATTCTTCGACGATTTCCAACGTTCCAGTATGTAATGATGGTGCCCATGAATTGCGACGCCACCGAACTTCTCCTGTTTCCGTTAGCCCCTGAAACGGGAAAACAAGCATAAAAACATCTGTTTTTTTATATTAGATGCCTAAAAGAACTAAAAAATTGTTTCTAAACCTGCTCCTATATCATAAAATTAGATTATTTTGATATCTCAAATATTAAAATAATTTGACTTTCTTATGGATGATCAATGAGTGCCACAAATAAGCAAAATTATCAAAAAAAAAGGATAAAGAAAAAGTGAATTACTGTACTAAAAAATAGACAAAGAAACAAAATATAAAAAAATATATGCGAAACAAAACAGAAGAGGAAAAAACAATAACCGGCTGTCGATGTTCTGTAGAAGTTGTTGCTTTTGAAATTGGAATTTCATACTGTGTCGGCGCTGGGCTTGTCTGCTGTCGAGGATGTTCAGTTACATCAAAATCATTGCTTAAATTAACAGTGAAATTTTCCTCTACATCCGAATATATCTCCATTGGTGTATCAGACACTGAATCCGACAAATCAGAGCAACGACTTTTCGGCAAAGACAAATCAATAATAGAACAATCAGCTTCCCCACTAAAGCATGAATCAACAGCGCCAACTTCCTGACTCGCAGTACCATCAGCGCTCTCTTGACTTGAGCTAGTACTCATTTGGCAACGTAAATCGGAAATCTTGAGTGTAGGATCCAAACTTATAATGGCTTTTTCGCAATCCGAAAGTAATTTTTCTATTTCCTGTCGAACCTAGAAATGAAATTTATTTTTTTGCAAAAAAAATTTAGCAGTAAAAATTTTAATGGTCTTTGCTTTAATGGTCTATAAATTATGAGTATCTTGAGTAGACCCAGCTATTCCATCTCTTATCCGGAATAAAAAACAATACAAAAGCGAAGTATAACTTCGCTTGAAATTTGAAAACTTGAATAATAGACAATCTATGATCAGAACTTACTGTACAGTCAGTTGAATTAATAGCGATGTATTCGTGAAGACGAGCAATAGCAGTAGACGGATATTTCGACATTAATATTTCCTTTTCCTTTTCATCATTACTTTTTTTAGCATGAAGCAAAGCCCAATTATATACCTGAATTTATAAGTAATATATTTTAGTACTAAAAAACCATAATTCCTCATAACTTCAAGAAATAAGAGCAATAAATTGGACCAGAATTCAAAAAACGGTATCCGAATTCAAAACTTTTATCTGAATAGAAAATGAAACAGCATTTCTAAAAATAATAGATGAAAACTAAAAAACCTGATCGATGTGAATACGGGAATCAAGTGCAACCTGAACAATAGAACGCACTTCCATAGCGCGCTGTTTACAAGATGCTAGGAAGGAACTGAATGAATCAAACGTATCAGTGATTTTATTTCGGTCTCTATCTCCAAATGAACCCTCTTCTGGCAAATGCGCTACTTTTTTCAGACGGTTATCAGCTTCATTCAAGTATCTTGCTAATTCTTTAGTCTTACTATCTACTTGTCTGATCTAAAATAATAACATACAAACAACAATTATATGAATAAATCCCCAATTTAACGACAAATATTTTGTCAAAAAGAAAATTTGTAAAAAATGCAAAAAAAAACAACTAAGAAATTCAACACTGAAATTATATTTAAATTTTTAAATACAATTAAAATCAACGGAACCAACCTGAGATGTCAATCTTATAACGCTGAATATCTTAATTATCTTCAGCTGTTCCAAATCATTTATTTCATTATTGATAAATTTCGTCACCTAGAGATAAATCATTTTAAAAAAAGGAAAAAATCATAATTAAAATTTACAAAACTTCAGCAACAAAATGAGTGCATGGAAAGTGATTTTCAAAAAAATGAAAGTACTTGAACTTAGTCACACCTACTATGCTTGAGTAAAAATCCAAACCTCTGGAACGTATTTTAAAAATTCGATCGCTTCCACAGAACACTGAAGTGCATATAGTCGTCTCGATATGCTTGAATTGCTTCTTTCCATGACTACTTTAACTTCTTCAAAGCCTGCTATTGCACGGTTTACTGAATCACTGCAAAAAAATGAACCGTAAAAACAAACATAGAATTTTATATGATTATGTGATATGATTAATGTTTATATGACTTATATTACCAAAAATGTTGCAAAAGGAGACATCTTTACTGACATTCAAGTTCTAGTTCAGACTCTACCAGTAAGGTTCCAAAATTTCTCATCCAACACTGCATTTATTAACACAAAATAAATCATTTGCTCTTAGTTATAAAATAATTTCCAAAATAATTTCAAGTAAATCTAAAAACAGTAATACATTCGCTGCAGAGATCATCCGGATGCCTGATAAGAAACTTGCAGGTACTAAATTGAGGCTTTCACATGTGCATGAGGCAAAATTGTTTTAGTTCTAACCAAAGTCAGCAGCTTAATAAACGGTTTTCAAAACAAAATAAGGCATAAAACTTCAAATACCCAAGATCTTAAGATCTATTAAAGAAGCACCAATTTCTATACGGGAAATAGGTAATGTGCGTTTCTTATGATAAGCACAGGAAGAAAAGAATACTGTGCAAATTAATCAACATTCATAAAGTCCAAAGATGGAGCATGTGCATTTTTGAATATAAATTCTAAATTACGAGAGCAAACTGTTGACCGCCTTAATATAAAAAGAAAACCGAATAAAGACAAATAAAAAAGAACCACCAGAAACCAGTACCCTGGAGTAGAAGAGATCATGATTCAAAAGCAAAATTGATCGTATATATCTCCAATTATAACTGAATATGGTTACTATTTTACAATTTCATTAAAGAACGCTTAATTTTTAAAACCATAAAACTAAGCATACGCGAAGAGATAAGAATCAAGGTGCTGAAGATCGCAGTATTGTATTTTCAGCTCATCACACAGTACTTCTCCACGATGCAACAAAAACACAACATCTGGTTCATCTTTCACAGCATTCCATCGATTATTTAATCTGCAAAGTAAAGTGTAAAAGCAAAGGATTTATAGAACAAACGAAAAATACAAACGCAATACGCTTATTTGGTGTAAAAAATAGTTCTGCGGCAATAACAACGTCTACTTTCTATGACTATGTCAACTCTTTTAACTTGTTCCACTTTTTGAAATGATGAATATGCTATTCAGTGTATTCTACCTCCTCCTTCTCTGGAAAACTCATTTATTGCTGCAGGTTAAAAAAAAAGAAAAACTTTCCCAATATCCTAGAAGTAATCGACAGCATTATATAATCTAATGAATTTAAAGGAAAGATATATCATAAATAAAAACTGACACTATAAAGTGGGTATACAAAATATAATATGAATCTGAAAGACATATTCAAAGCATGACTGACAAAGCATGACTGACAAAGCATGATTGAAGCTATTTAGGTTCACTTAAAATTTTTTGGCATGCAGTTATTTATATACTTGATTTCAAGTTTCTAAGTGGAGTTTCAAATTTAACTTCAGTTCACGAATCTTTTTCGACTTCCTGCTCTTAAATAAAAAAAAAAAACATAAAGAAAAATGATCTTCTATAATGATCCATAGAATGTTAATGCAAAAAAGAAATAGCTCAACCGAAGAAAATATAAGAAATTAGCATTTGGTGAACTACGTTAGGTTCTTAGCAAACATCGAAATCACTATTTTAAACATCCGATCTCAATAAAACGATGACTTTCAATGTGAAAAAATAAAAATGCATACTCTTCAGATTGTCTCCGCAACAAATCAGTATTGACGATTGCGAGATCTTGCGGCACTTCAAATTGTTTTAAATATTCATGTAAGCTCATATAAAGTTTCGCTGTTTTGTGTGTTTTTTTCAGCAAATCTTCCACGCACTGTAATAGAATTCACTGCTGAACAAATATGTAAATGAGTTACATATATTATAAACTACTGCTTTTAGATGCAAAAGTATTTGTTAACATATGCATAGGAAAATGATCAACTTTTAGTGGATTATAGTAAAGGTAACACGAATATTTTTTGCATTAATACAAGCTTTTAAACGCAATATTATGAAGTATAGAGAACGATTGCTAGCAATGACGAAGAAAAGATAAAAAAACATCAATATAAATTGAATTTTTCTCTTATTTTCAATTTTTAGCCAGTTATACTTGAACAGTCAACAACTCAAACGAAACAGCTAATGGCTAATGGTACTATGCACCACATGTAATTCTACAGATTCTACAGAGATTGGTTACTTTTTCCACAATATTCTATATATTCTCCTGTTCATTGGAACGAACGAAAACTAACGAATCGCATGCGGAGAAAATGCCGTGTAATCTCTGGGTCGATTAAACCATTTAAATATGTTGAAAAATTGCTCGCTTCAATATATTTCGTAATACTCCCGATATCGGCCACAATATTCTGAAATTTAGATTCTCTTAAAATATTTATACTCCTTACAGATAAGTTCACAATCAGTTTTAACGAAAAAATTAGTTTTTGAAAGTAATGAAAAAATTGACAAAGATTACAGAAACTTAAGAAAAGCTAACTTTAGCTCTTGATAAAATGAGATCTTCATTGATGATAGTTTCAATATTATGCAAAGAGGACCCGATAACCCATAATATGCAATCAATCGTACCTTCGAGCCATGACTGAAAAAAAATACACACTCATATTAATTCAGCAGCCCCAATTATTTGAAGCTCTACAATTACATTCTTTTTACTTTAAAATATTGAAGTATATTACGTACTCAAAAAAATAAGTCATATTTTTTTCCAACATTCCGTGAAATGCACAACCTCATATAAATTCCAAAAATTTAATCACAAGAAATTTGGTCATAACCAGAAATATTATGAATCGAAATGAATTAATTTCAATAGCAACATACGGCTGATTGTCGTAGTTCATGAAGAAAAGAGTGAAGGCATTCTTCCGAACAATCACGAACATCGATGATTATGTACAGCGTATATTTTTTATCCGAACATCTAGAAATAAATTATTCTAATTCACATTTTTTATTATATCAAAAAAAATATACACTTTATAAATAAAAACCAGTAGCTATTAATTGAACGGTCTACAAAATTTTTTTTTTAAATTGATACAAATAACAAATCGAAGCAAAAAATTCTGATACAAATTACAGTTTGCATAAACTATTAAAAGTAATAGCTTCCAGTGAATCGTCAGATCAAGTATTTCATTTAATTTATTCTCTATTGTAAAGGAGAATACATACCTGGCATAAAGAGAATAAGTTGAGAAAATTAATGAAGGCAAGAGATCGAAAGGAACCTCCGATGAGATTCGTAATTCAATGATTGGTTTACCATATGAACTGCTCTTACAGAGTCCTGTAGTTAAATTATTCACTTTATATCCTGATAGCTTATAAATTAAAAGACTTAAAGCACAAAAACAAACCACCTCACTGATCTCAACTTCTAATTCAAATTCTCGAAAACATTTGTAAACGATATACATGTATATCAATAGTAACAATAATCTCTTCCTTTATTTCTTTCTTATCCTTCCGTAATTTTTTAAATCAATCTTTCCGTTCTCTTTGATTGCATTATCTGAGCAACTTTTATGACTACAATAATTACTCTCATTTTATAATGCCGTTTAATTTTGGTTTTGATTTTGATTTAAAATCGTCATTATTATTTAAACCTATTACTCTATTTCAATATCTTTCCTCTATTACTTGTTCCGGTCAAAACAAAATCTCATTCATCCTATCCCAAATTCACGGCAAGAATAAATATTGCCTCTTATATTCATAATTTTCCGTACCTTTCAAATGCTCACACGGCCTAGTATACAACAGAGAAAAGACCGATGAATTTAGTTACATGATAACGTAATACTTATCTCTTTGTTTCCTTAGTTTCAAACTCATTACTATGCCCTTCAATTTGATTTGATGATAACATGCTCCACCTAATGAATGATCAATTGATTGATGTCAACTTTTGTTTTTAATTTGTACAATGTGACATGTAATTCATACCATGAATTTGAAAGAATTTGTGCACTTCTAAACTTGGAAATATGCTGATAGCATCGGAGAAATATTTATTGAGCGGTTTCATCCGTAGTTCATCTGAAATCAAACGAAAAAGAGGGTGATGGAAGAAAAAAAAAATTGATAGCTTTGATCGAAACAAGTGATGCGCATTTACTACAACTAACAATATCGCATACTTATGTGCACAGAAACACGAATAAAAATATTTTCCAAAAAAAAATTATATTTTATTCAGAATTAATTTTAAAAACAATAAAATTCCTCTACTGTTAACAGCAAGATAAATTGGCCTTTGATCATTTCTACCTGCTAATAATATTAAACTTATCTATTAACTTTTCACAGTCTTTTAGATTCTTCACATTATTCCTCACAGTATTCCACACATTCGTCATTATTCCTCACATTCGATTAATTCTATATTTACAACGCACTTTAACATCATGTCAGGTAAATACCGCAACCGAATCATCTTTTATTTAAAAAGCATTATAAATATTTCATATTTAATGAGTATCAAGTATACATTTAATAAGTATTATGTAAATATTACATTTCAGCTATGGAACTAACTTTATCCTTAGACGATTTACTTTTGAATTTCATATCTAAAGCATTAAATATATTTCAAAATAGTTTACTAATTAATTAAACTGAGAGAAGATAAAAGCAGTTTTTTGATAATCCTGACATGAAAAACATGAGAATGTCGGATAACACCGAGAAATTGGCGGAATGCAAATAAAATAAAAACGACTAAGTGAATCAAACTGGACTGCTATTTCTAAAATTCAGAAAAATTAGAGCATTCCAATAAATTTTGCAAAAAAAAAAAGAATAAAAAATTTTAAACAACCTTCACAACAACAAGTACTAAAGTATTTGAATAAAATGAAGGTCACGATGGACGATGTTAAGAGGAAAATATCAGCAAGACAATGATGAAGAGAGAAATGTTTTCGAAATGTTTTCGAAGCGATAAAGGTAGAGAGAATTGTGGGGGAGAAAAAAAATAACGGAAGAATAACAGTCAGGTAAGGAAAGAGATGAGAGGAAAGACTTATCAGGAAATAAATTTTATTAGTTGATTGCTTTTCATGTCAAGCTGATTACAAAAATATATTATTTGCGCTAAAATAAACTTACCATCAATACCATCAATAACCCGAGAAACACCAAATCCGCCTACCTAGCAAACGAATAAACAAGTAAACAAAGAAATGAGGTGTTGAGTAAACAATAGTGAATAGAATAGGTTCTATGAATAATTTGTAAATAAATAATGCATATTAAATGGAGTAAATAAAATGCTCATTTCATATAAGGCTAGACGAGATGATTTTGTTAACCAACTGCAATCTAACAATAAGAATAATAAGTAAAATTAAATTAAATTTGGAAATAAAAATTTGACATTCAACTGTTTAATGGTGTTCAAGTTAATCATAGATATTTATTTAATAATCTGAAATTACATATATGTATATATATATATAATTTTCGATGGAATTTTGCATGAATTATTAATATGAGCAAAGAGTTAGTGCATTTTAGAATTAATCGAAATGGAAAAGTTGGAACTGCACAATGAAAATTCGTGAATAATACAAAACGAAAAGCTTCGAGAATTAAATTAAACGAAAAGCCGAAACCATCCCATCCTCTCTCCTCCCATTCATCATTGAAATACGAATTTCCAAATTCAACACTTACCGCCACTCGGGAGTCTCATCGGGCCATGTTATATAAATCGGCCCAATTTAGGGCATAAGTCTACAGGATAATAACGGTTTGTCACCAACGTGAAAATATTTTGTCTCGAACTATTGCCGATTTTCTTTCTTTTTAAATCTTTCAATATCTTTTTACAATACAAATACATCATGAATCCTTGAAAAATAACGAATGGGAAAATTGATTAATTTAGAAACCATTTTTTGAATTGGAATTTTCTGAATGAAAATGTCAGTAACTAGTTGTTTAAAAAACAAACAAGCAAACAAACAAACAAGCAAACAA